GCAGGGGTCGCTTTCCATACTTACTTGGAACTCAGCCATTACCGCGTTCTCCAAACCAAAGGAATCTGGGAATTATTGTTCGTGAAGACCTAGGATGTTCCACATATTGCGTAAGAGCGTCATTAAAGACGATGAAGCACGTTGGATTGATAAAAGATGTTTTTGGATCATTCGAAACAGACCTTTTCCCCCGGTTACTATCAGCATACATTAGACCATACAACGAGTATGCTATACAGGCTTGGAATCCATGGCTACCTCGGGACCAAAAGGCACTCGAACGTACGCAGAGAACAGCAACCAAAATGGTCAAAGGGTTGCAATCTAAGACCTACGGTGAAAGGCTGCGCATTCCCGGACTCTATTCGTCTGAATTCCGTCGAATACGGGGAGACATGATCCTCGTATATCAAATACTACATCAATATAACCAACCGTGTAGTACTCTACTAACACTACCTAGGAATGGTCACCTTCGAGGATATCTGTTTAAACTTTTGCTCCAAAACAGTCGGCTAGACTGCAGGTGTCATTCTTTCAGCCTTGAAGTTTGTGATACCTGGAACCGTTTGCCATCCGTAAGTTGTTTGTGCTCTAACCGTCACCGATTTATTCAAGTCAGGACTGGACGAAGCATTGAACTACACCTAACCTTTTCAGCATCCATGAGTGAATGTCATAGTTAGTTAGCTATTTATTTGTAATTTACTGATAATAATAAAAATGTGAATTTGACCTGCCACCGAAGAAGTACTAGGAAAAACGGCACGACTGAATACATGCGTACCCATACGTACCGATCCCATTATGGGTCGATTGGCGAGAAAATAGAGGGTTGAGGTTGATTGATGATCTATTGATTAAACTGAAGATGATGTACTGAGATTTTCTGTGAACAGGAAACGGACAAACAAACAGAAACACAAATGAATAATAACGATGCTGCTGCTGTTGTTGGTGATGATGATGATGATGGTCAAGTGGAGAAAAATGCGCGACTTTCAGTCCGTGGAAGATGACAGTCAGGCACTGATAATCACGACAAGTAAACATTGTGCTCTCGGAAGCATTATACAATCACACACACACACACACACATACAGGCGTACTAACAACGGGCACGGGAAAAATCGACAGTGTTGTAGTCCATCCGTGAATGTCAGACACATTGACAAGAATGAGGATCGGCGGAGGGGAGAAGAGTTACGCACACGGAAATTCCACGCGTGTTTAGCAAACCTCCTTGAGAGAGAGAGAGCGAAACACTGACTGGCAAGGCCTCTGGAACACAGGGGAAACATGATCGAACGCACGAAGGAATGAATGCTGGCGATCCTCGGATGGATGGTATGGCGAAAACTGCACGGTTAACGGCACACTGAAGGACGCGGGTTCGCAAGTGCGAATGTGAACGGTGCGCGCGCGCGAGAGAGGGAGCGCGCCAGCCCGCCCGCCCGCCTGCCAGACTTAGCCAGACGTAAATCTATGATACAAAACAGACAAATAGGAACGAGGCGGGACAAGAGATAGGCACGGAAATAACAGGTCGAATCGGTAGTAGTAGTCGTCGTCGTCGCACGAAGGAGAGAGTGAGTTACCAGTAGCCTATCGAAACGGACCGATGATAGTCAGTGAAGTCAAGGGAACAATTAATTTGAGGATGGCGAAGATAAAAAAAGAAAGAATGAGAGATAAACCAGAAATTCTTGTAAATCACATGTAAATCACATCGCATGGAAGATGCTCGTCCGTGGTCTGCGGTGCGAACTCCTCGCACACGATCGTTGTTGCTGCCAGCACGAGAGAGCCACAGTGGGGAAATTCGCGAATCGGATTGATCTTTTTGACATGTGGCCAAATTAGAATATGAGATCCAACGATTGATTTTTGTAGGTTTCCACAGGACAGTACGGACATTTCACTTTGCTGTGGAAGCAAAAAGGTGAATTGAAAATAAAGACAGGCGACGGTTGAGTGCACTGGCAAACAGGGAACGAACAAATCGTGCAAATACGTGGACCGAAACAAACCGTGAATAAGAAAAAAGAGTAAACTGTGACTATAGGAAAAGAAAACCGAAAAATCACTAATCATCAGGTACAACATTCACAATAACGAATAGGCCGAAATAGGATGATCACTGTACGATGCAAGCGACAGCTGTAAATCGATTTTCGAAGCGGAGCTCCCTGGCTCATCTCCTAACAGTTTAACCAGTCGCCGAAAAAAAACAGCATGGAACATTCATTAGAAGCCAACGAAACAACTATTTTTTATCAACTCTCACAATAACGAACCTGCCGACTCATCAACAGGTTCGGGACTGAGCGTGAGAAAGGCGGTGGGTATCAAAATGAAGCGCCAGAGAGAGAGAGAGAGATGAAAAAGTTGAACAACCACAGGTCACAATCGCAATCTTATCCGAGACTATTCCGGACTGCGCGCAGCTGCGTTCACTATGAAGACCGACAACGCGCACTGATTCCCATTGTAGAACGCGCGATCTCGAACTATGCACAGAACATTGCAAAACAGTAGTCTAGCAGACCTCATTCCATTGTTCATTTGATCGATTCACAACATAGTGTCATAGATCCCCCTTTGGGAAAACCAAAGACCAATCAGCTTACGCAGCATAGTTCGTGCGCTTCTATAGTTGGTATCATACTCCATCGATTCTATCACACACGTGAATGATACTCACATGAGAAGAACTAGGAAGGTTTCCAGATTTGGTCGAGGTTGCATGGACCATTTGTTCACCCTGTGATACAGGAATTTCTTCCGTAGACCCAGCAACCCTGTCCACCGTGATATATTATGATGGCCTTCAAACCAATCGACTACACCGTACACTTGTCCAGTCCCCAAATTCAAAGACATGCCAGGGAACCTCGTTCCACTAGTACAATCCCTTTACACTAAAAGCTGAAGCTCATTTCGAGCTTACGGATGTTTTTCCCCGGAGTGCATTACAGAAAACGGTGTTGATCG